AATCGAATTAATTGCTCTGATGGACGATTATGTTGACTATAAAATGGACGTAGTGCGCGATGCGTATTTTGAAGAGAACCATGATTTTCAAAATAAATTTGCAAAATTTGAAAGCGTTATTCAGGCGTCAGTCTATTCATGCTGAAATTTCAAACCAAACTTAACATAAATCACTTAACAGCTGTCAAAATGGCCGCCAGTTAAAAAAGTGTTACCAACTTATATTTCTATACATCTAAAAAAGACAGCATTTACCACAAAAACATGGATCATGACAAAAAAATTAACCTTATTAATACGTTTTATAAGGTTACTGCAGCAATATTACAAAGAACCCTATATAACAATTGATGCAAAAATATAAACATTGCGCTGGGCAGGTCACCTTATAAGAATGGATAATAACTAATAACCGAAGAAGAGCAGCCAAGAAAAGATATGCTTGAAGATGGATGCTGATAGACGTCAGATCCCGACTTGGGCTGTAGCTCAATTGAACCACCAGTTAGAAGAAGGGAATAAACGCCAAAATATAGCGAAACGACGTTTTAACAAAAATATACCTTTTAAAGCAAGACCCATATGTCCGTGCTAAGTAGGAACTAAACACCGTGAAGTTACGGAGATATTTCAATACGAAATGTGTGACAGTTTTAAGAAGAAAATAAATCACGGAATAATTTCTTTCTTCAAACTTACGTGTGTGATTCTACTAAGTGTATACAGTGGAAATCCAAAAAATTAACAGGATACTTTTTTAAGAGCCTCATAAATTGCTCGAAAGATAATCCCAAAAGGCGTGACAATACTTTTCCTTATTTTATCCGAATAAATTCTGCAAGAGTTGAGGTATGTAGGCAAGCTTTTTTAATCTTATTATATGCTATAAAAAATAAAGTAATTTTTCGACTGACCTCTCTTAATGCCGAAGGAAAATTACTGGTGGATCACCCTGGTAGGTATTCATTTAAATCATGGTAACAATTTATATAACATTGTTATTGCGATCGATCATCACATTCGATCATTTTCGTTAAAACAGTATCATTACAGCACCAGATTCAATAATTCAATATTTGGATGCTAACCTCAATGTGAAGATAATATTTTGCAAAAAGTAACCTGAACATGCCAACATTGTTAAATACGATTTTTTTAGAAACCACTATAATGATAACCATGGCTACAGATTTGGAAGACCACAGGTTGACGTTTGTTCAACTTGTAAAGCCCTTGAGGCTAAAAAGCGTGTAGCAGTTGGAGAAAAGATGGTATATCTGAGACAAGCGAAAAAGTTTTACTTAAAGCAGCAAGAAGTATTAAGATTATGTCTAGGAAAGGAAAATGTCGAAGCTATTGTTTTGATGTTTTGACAGTGCAAAACCTTCTGCTTCCAAAAATACCAGTGCAGGAAATGTTCTGTCAGGAAACTATGGCTTAGCGTGTTTGGTGTCTACGATTTGAAAACAAATTGTGCAGATTTTTTACACGTACCATTAAAGAGAAGCAAAAAGAGGTGCTGTATGATGTATGTAGTCGAATTTGGAAGACAATCCAAAATATGGATCCTCCTATAAACGAACTTCACGTGTTTAGTGACGCTTGCGGAGGACAGAATAGAAACAATACCCCGATACGATTCATGCTCATGTTGGTTTCGACTGGACGGTTCGATAAAGTTTATTAGTACTTTCCTGTGTGTGACATTCGTTTTTACAGTGCAATCGAAATTTCGGAACAGCAAAAAGACTTATCAGGAGAAAAGATAGGATTTGCGTACCAGAGAAATACAATCCAATGATCTTTACTGCCAAAACAAGAGGATTTTCGGTAACAACAATCACCTCAGACGACAAATTCGACTTTAAATATACCTGGAAAAATTATTACAGAAAAACTTGTAAGTCGATGGACAAAACATCTACATTTATGATATCCAAATATAGATATTTAGAGTATTTTTCTTCCCATAAAAGTTACGTAACAGTTTCAGAACAAATAGATGGTTTTATTAAACACAGGTTTCTACTTAAAAAAAAATGGAGTGATCCCTTCATTGTCTAGTACCAGAGCATACAGGGTAAAAATACCAATAAATGAAAAGAAGATGGAAGACATTCAAAAAATAATTCCATATATTCCAGAAGATAAAAAAGAATTTTACGAAAACATTCTCACATAGCCAACTACTGCATCAGATAATGTCATTGAGGGAGAAGGGTAATTTATGGAAATATTTTTTTTTTTGTATTTGTTTTTTTTTTATAAATTACTTTAAATAAAATAAGCTTTTTCATACAATTTTGTGTCTTTGTTCATGTCAAAAAAATATAAGTTGTAAGAAAGAAATAATAAACAAGAAAAAATTAAATAGAACGAATAAACAGTTTTTATTGATTTTCGGACAATCTACTTTTTGGATTCACTCACTTCTTCTAACTGGTGGTTCAATTGGAGAGAAAGATAGATAAAAACAATATTTTTTAACTTTCGATTTTGGTCCCGAAAACCCTTTTAAAAATCGTGAAAAAGGATTATAACAAATTGATAAAACTTGTAAACATTTATATAGTTAACAAAACCTGTATTTTTTATTTATTTTATTGCATGAGCTTTTTTTAAACTGTTTCAGAATTGGAAGTCGAAACGTCAAAAAAAACATGTAATTTTAACCAATCATGTTGTTTTTTCGCAAAAAATGTAACTGATCATTGTCGAGCATACCACAAGAAAACAGTTTCAAAACCACATCATAATAATGTACTTACTTATTTTTATGGATACATATAGGATGCGAGATAAGATTTATAACTTGTTATTTACGTGTTGTTAAATATTTATGAAGAGTTTGTAATTGAAAGTGTTCCTGTTCGGCAACTGTTTGTTCCTGAAAGACAAAAACCAGTTTGTTTAATATTGGTGGTCTTGGATGTATTGTTGACCTTTGATTTGGAAATGTAGGTAGTAATTTAAACAAAGCATAAATTTATAAATAATTTAATAGCGTAAATATAACAATAAATACTTAATTCTACAATGTAAATTTAATATTATTAATATATTACGGATCTTATTGTTATATAAAATATTTTGAACTATCTATTACATTGTATCAACTTTATTTTACATTCCCAATGAAAGCTAAAACAATTTTTTATATTTTGTACTTTTTAGTTGTTTTTGTTTTTTAATAATTAAATAATAATAATTTTGCTTGACAATGTTTTCTTTTGTGTGAGAAAGTACTACGAATTGAATTTACTGGAGACGGTAAATGACCAAAAGGAAGTATTACAATCAATGGCCAATGATTGTAGATCTACTTGATTTAAACAACGTGAGATTTGTAGATCTTCAACAAATCTGTGCAAGTTATATTGGATATGTAGATAACATCGACGTCTTAGCTAGGTCCACAGATTCTGACCGATGCAGTTTGGTCATTAAGGGCATCTGCACAGAGAATGGGACTAAGTATAAATGCCATAGAGGCCAAATATATGTCTTGTACTAGGTCAAGCACATAGCCATCTATAACAATAATAATAAACGAATAATGATTTAGAGCTAAAAGGTGTGAACACCTTCACAAATAAGTAATAAAAGACTTAGGTTTGTGGTGAAGGCGCAACTTTTAGTTGTATAGAAATTTCGGGGAACCTGACGTAAAATTCATTAAGGTACCACGTCTTAGATGGATAGGGCATGTAATCGGGCGAGAGGAAGGTGCAACAGTCACAAAAGTTTTTGATTGAAGAGGACCGGTGGGACAACAAGCCAGAGGAAGTCTAGACATAGGTATCAAGACAACCTAGAGGATGATTTAAAATCTATTGAAGTTAGAGCATGCAGAACACAGCCAGAGACAGGGGTAAATGTAGAGTTGTTCTGAAAAAGGCTTTGGCTCATAACGATCTGTGACGTCACTGATTTGCAGATGAAACAATTATCATTAATATTATTATTGAAACAGATAATCTTGATTATCTACACTCTGTCAAATGTTAAATGTTGTGTGCTGGGCATACGGTCTAAAGTAGAACCTTAAAGCAAAACTAAATTTATAATCACAAAAAAAATCATGCGTACACTTACAGAGAAGGAAAGTAAATGTTAATATTTGGACAGTTGGATTACCGAAACGCTATACCAATTGAAGTAAATAAAAACACGCATAGAGATAGGGTGATCAGAGTTTAAGAAGATCAAGGTATTTATCTGATACCATATACTGAAGACAAGAAAGTCAGAAAGATTTATAAACCTCATCCTCCTTCTTTTTAAGAATGTGGTGACGCATGGTTGCTATCCATTCCTCTTTCCTACGTGTGATGTGTTGTATTGAAGAAAGAGAGATAGAAAGAAGAAAAAACCTTTATTTGATCTGATCATCGATGTGGCAGTCTTCTTCGAGTTCTTTCACCATTTACTTTTCCTTCACACGCCAATCTCTCCACATCTTTCCTTCGTCTGGCTATGTGTCCCAAATGCTTCAATATATTTTGATTGATGATTATGATAAGCTTAGTGTTGATGTCGAATTTTGTTCATCATCGTCGAATCATCATCAGTGGCATTACAGCTCATTGTGAGCCAGAGCCTTCTTCAGAACAATCTTCCATTCGCCCCTGTCTCTGACAACTCTTCTCCATGCTTTAACTCGGATGGATTTTAGATCATCCTCTATGTTATCTTGAACTTAAGTTTTGGTGTTCCTCTAGCTCGTCTTCCCGCTGATCCTCTTCGATCGAAAATGTTTCTGATCGTTGCATCTTCACCTGCGTATACATTTGATAACGTCAGGTTCCCCAAAACTTCAGTATAACTCAAAGTTGTAGCACCTACGCTACAAACCCTGCTGTTGGATTAGAATTTTTCTCTCGAAACGTTTAAGCAATTCTTGGTCGTTCTGTGTAAGTGGTCACGTTTCTGACTTGTATGTTAACACTGCCCTTATTAGTGTTTTATGTATGGTAACGTTGTATACGGTAGTACCGTGTAATAACGTGAATACGGTATTTTAAAGAATTTAACAGGTATAAATAGAGCTGGATGATATAAATATAAAAAGAGGAGTAAGACAAGGCTGTATATTGTCGCCTTTTCGTTTTAACTTATGTTCGGAGGAAATATTTAAGGAAGCCTTAATGGAGACAACCGAAGGTATTATTGTGAATGGAGTAACCGTCAACAATATTAGATATGCCGATGATACCTTAGTGCTTGCTAATTGCGGAGAATACCTTCAAAATCTAATGAACAAAATAAAACAGACTTGTGATCAGTATGGATTAAAACTCAACGTTAAGAAAGCTAAATATATGATAGTTAGCAACAAAATTATATACAGGATGACGGTATAAAAGTCGGAGATGCCATACTAGACAGAGTAGTGAAACTCGTGTATCTCGGCAGTAATATCAATGAGAGCTGGAATCCAACCGCAGAAATTAAAAGCCGAATAGAACAAGCCCGAGCTACCTTTGTAAAAATGAGAAACGTACTTTGCAGTCACGATCTTAGCATTGACCTTAGAGTTCGAATGACATCTTGCTACATCTTTCCTGTCCTGCTGTATGAAGTGGAAGCGTGGACTCTAACTGAGGCTATCCTTAAACGCTTGACAGCCTTTGATATGTGGGTATAAACAACACAACTGGTCAATATAATAAAGGAACGCAAGCTGGAATACTTCGGTCACATTATGAGACACCCTGAAAAATATAATCTTTTACATCTGATCATTCAGGGAAAGATCCAAGGTAATCGTGGTCCTGGTAGAAGAACAACATCATGGCTGAAAAATCATTGCCAAAGGCAATGGTATGGAAAATCAACTACATCGTTATTTAGAACTGCTGTCAATAAAGTCACGATAGCGAATATGGTAGCCAACATAATATCCAACGATCGATAACAGTCATGGAACTAGAAGAAAAAAAAAGAAGAAGAAGTAATAGAGCTGGCGAGCTCTGCCATGACCCGATGGAAAGACGTCTGGCCTTACGATAATTCGTTAACGCACTATAGGAAGCAACCCCTCACCGATTTTCTTGTAACGATTTTTATAAGAAAGTTGATTTTTATAAGGAATAATACATACTTTATACATATTATAATAAAAATATTTTACGTTCTGCAATGGTTGTTGAAGTTAATATCAGATCTACACCAAATACAGATAGATTCGCAGTTTATATGTAGGGACATTTACACCTACACAAAAGAATACATTGTTACCTATCTGCCAATTTTTAATATTTTAAAGATTTTTTGATGTACCTATTAATAATACATCAATGCTTAAATATTTAATAAATTTTTCTCTTTATACAGAACTATACCTACTTTAATATCGAATAAATAAAAAAGTTAAAATAATATTTATAAGTAATACGAAGATAAATCTCCGACTGTGTCTCTTATATTAACTATCTGTACATATTTTTTTTTAATTAAGTCAGTTTTCTGACATAAAAATTTACAAAACAGACTGCATACTTCGATCTCTGTTGTTCAGTCACGAGCTATCTACAATTTTAAATTAACAAATTTGGGTTGGTGTACCTAACGTATTTAAGAAGATCTTCATTTTCTTCACACACCCAGGGTTTAACGTGGTGACAGGCAACATCGTGCCAGTTTACTCCGTCGTTATAAAATTGATTCAAAATGGCAAGACAATTTTCTTGTGCTCCACCCTGGATGGATTCTCTGTTGTCTGGTTGTGGCTTGTTGATGCCTCCGGTTTCGGACCAGTCGTTCTGGTCTCTTTGAGTAGTTGGTGCTAATTTTTGCAGGACGGCTGTCCAGAACCAACCATTCACGTTGTTGGGAAGGAGGTCTGGACGGTCGCAGCCTTTGAAGTCACACAAACGGCCGGAAGTCCATATGTATTTTATCTGTAACAATGTTAAAATTTAAAATTGTAACTGTAATAAAATCCAGAATGAAACGGATAAACTTCTAAGATTATAAAATATTTTTCTGTTAGTAAAATTTTATTTAACTTAGATGTGGATGCGCACGGTAGAATGCTTCTATGACATCTATATTTAAGAAAGAAGATAGAAAACGATGCGAAAACTACAGAGGAATAAGCGTAATATCATCAATAGGAAGATTATATGGGAAGATACTGCGAGAAAAGATAGAGCAAGCGATAAAAGGCAAAATCGGGGAGGATCAGGCAGGCTTCACGGCAGAAAGATCCTGCATAGACCACATATACACACTGAAACAACTGTTGGAAAAGAAAAAAGCAAAAAATAGAGATATATATTTGGCATTTGTGGACCTGAGAAAGGCGTATGACTCTGTACCAAGGTCAGAACTATGGAAGGTAATGTACAAATTAGAAATACAGACGGAACTCATAGAAGCTGCAATAGCTCTGCATAAAGAAAATAAAGTGTCAATTAAAGTGGGAACAAGAGTCATAGGAGACTTTATCACAACAAAAGGGCTCCTCCAGGGCTGTTCCACATCTCCAACGGAAACGAATACCTATATACGTTAAGCTTTGCAAACGATCAAGTAGTGATTGCACAAGACCAAGACGACCTCAGCTACATGATGAAGAAACTACAAGAAGAATATATCAAGGCTGGCCTAGATATTAACTATCTACAAGTGAAGAAGACATAGAAGATCTACAGATTGATGACAACGAAACAATCAAAGGAAAGGACAAATTCAAATACTTGGGGTTTATAATCACGAAAAAGGCATCAACAGAGGAAGAAATTACACAAAAATTAGGACAAACAGGAACAGCAATCGGACAACTTAACTTAGTATGGTGTAATAGACACCAAAATATGAAGATAAACAAAGATTTATAAAACATTAGTGCTAAGTATTATGACACATGGGGCTGAAAATTGGATTATAAACAATAAAAACAGCAGTAAGATAGTAGCAACAGAGATGGAATGCCTGCGAAGATGCTGCAGAGTAACAAGAATGTATAGGAAATAAAGCAAAGAACATCAATAGAAACAGGCATACTAACATATATAGAACAAAAAAGGCTAAAGTGGTATGGATATGTAACAAGAACTAGAGACAGTAGATGGATAAAGAGAATAACCGAATGGAGCCCCATAGGAAGGAGAAAAAGAGGACGACCCGAAGATCCTGGAGGAACGAAGTAGACGACGCCATGAGTAAGAGAACCCTAAACGATGAAGAATGGGACAACAGAGAGAGAGATGGAAACGGTTGAGAGAGGGAAGGCAGTGAACACTGTAGAATCACTGAATACATGCATAGAATGCTTCTGATATGTGAGCTCTGAGCTATTACTAAAGTATTATAGACATTTCGCACTTTAAATACCATGCGGTCCATATGAATGGAATAAATTTATTTTTAGCGTTATTATGTACTATGTGAAAAAAATCTGAAACAGGTTGATATTTACTCTTAAATTGACAATTTACAGTATGAAAATATTGTACCCCTCCAGCACCCCTTTGAAGTATAATTTCGAAAATTTTAAATAACAAAGGGGATCATATGGCACTTTGTTAGAAAGGAATTTTACTCCTCTGTTCAGCAATATAAAGTTTTTTAAGTTTGGTGCAATCATACATGAGAAAATTGATTTTTAAGATGTAAAATTTTCATAAGGTCTCTATCACAAAACTTTAGGTTGAATGAGATAATAATGTCACAAATTATTGAGAATGTATTTTTCAATGTAATTTACAATTAAATTAAATGTTCAAAATAACCACCATTCACTTCTTGACAATAACCGAGGCGATTTTAAAATTCTCGCACATTTTGTGTAGATGTTCATATATTTTAAACAAGCATTTGATAGAGTATGTAGGGAAAGACTGTGGACAGCGATGCAGGAACTTGACTTTCAAAAAAAACTAGTCCGGTTGATACGGATGTGTATGGAACGGTTACGATGTAAGGTGAGAGTTGGACAACAATACTCGGAGACATTTGAAATAAACAATGGACTAAAACAGGGAGATGCACTTTTACCACAACTCTTTAACTTGGGTCTAGGACAATTCGCCGTCGCCAATTCGCCGTCGCCGATTCACCGTCGCCCATTCACCGTAGGGACAATTCACCGTTAGCCGATTCGCCGTCGCCGATTCGCCGTCAGAATTTTAATTTTTAGAATGTTTATTATTAACAATTGGTTATAAATAAAAGATTTTAGACAATAAATTATTTTATAGTAAGTACCAATTAATGGTGTGTTGATGTTTAAATTTTTATTAGGAATAAAATATTTAACAAGAATTAGAAAACAATTAGGGTGGTTGATCTTCTAATGTGGGTTAAAATAGTTGTTGTTTATTTAATGACCATTAATAACCAGTAATAACCATTAATAATCCAGATATTTACAATAAAACAGATAATGGAAAAATGCTGGGAGTTTGATCGTGAGCTTCATCAGATGTTCATAGATTTTAAACAAGCATTTGATAGAGTATGTAGGGACAGACTGTGGACAGCGATGCAGGAACTTGGCTTTCCAAAAAAACTAGTCCGGTTGATACGAATGTGTATGGAACGGTTACGATGTAAGGTGAGAGTTGGACAACAATACTCGGAGACATTTGAAATAAACAATGGACTAAAACAGGGAGATGCACTTTCACCACAACTCTTCAACTTAGCTCTGGAGCACATAATCAGAAGTGCAAGAATCGAAAAACCGAATACAGTATTTCATCGAGAAGGACCAAACTTACTACTGGCATTTGCAGACGATATAGATCTAATAGGAAACACGCGATTAAAGATGAAGGAGACTTTCGTAAGGTTTGAGAAGGAAGCAGGGAAGATGGGGCTCCAAATCAACGAAAATAAGACGAAATATATGTATATGAGCCGCAATAACCAAAGCAGAGACAGAATCGGTCAGAACATTACCATCGATGACTTTAACTTTGAGCGCGTTAGAGAATTCAAGTATCTTGGAACAACAATAACTGAAGACAATAACGGATCACAAGAAATAAACAACAGGATTCAGGCCGGCAACAGATGTATTTTTGCCCTCCAAAACCTTATAAAATCAAAACAACTAACACGAGGTACGAAGATACAGGTCTATAAAACAATCATACGACCCGTTGTGATGTATGGAAGCGAAACGTGGACGATGACAAAGGCAAATGAAGAGAGACTACGTGTTTGGGAAAGAAAAATCCTAAGGAAGATCTTTGGTCCGGTGCTTGATGAAGCATCAGGACAATATAGGATAAGAACTAATAAAGAGCTTGAAGAACTTTACCCAGACACCAACATCATAAAAGAAATAAAGTCCAGAAGACTCCAATGGGCAGGACACCTCAGAAGACATTCTGATGAACGAACAGTAAGACTGGTGTGGGAGGAAGTCCCAACTGGAAGGAGACCACGCGGACGCCCTCGTCTTCGGTGGCGAGATAATATAGCAGGAGACCTAAGCACTATGGGCGTGGAGAATTGGATGGAGGTTGCTCAAGATAGAAAACAGTGGAGGCATGTTGTCGAGTCGGCTAAAACCCACGAAGGGTTGTAACGCCACGGAGTAAGTAAGTAAGTAAGTAATAACCAGTGAATAATGATTCAAGGATTTAATTTTTTGTTTAAATTATTGTTGAAATAAAAAATGTTTAACAAAAAATTAGGCAATCATTTTTTTTTCGTAAGTACCCATTTATTGAGGGTTGGTGTTTAACGAAAACTTAATTCATATAATTTTATGTTTAATTAAATATTTTTGCTAAATAAATGAAACAAAGCATCCATTGTTTTATGTTTTGTTTTATTAAAAAATTAATTTATTCCTAATAAAAATAAAACACCAACTCAATAAACATTAATAAATAGGTACTTACCATAAAATAATGCGTTGCCTAAAATCTTATTTTTATAACCAAATGTTATGAATAAACATGCTCAAAATTAAATTTCTGACGGCGAATCGGCGACGGCGAATCGGCTGCCGGTGAATTGTCCCTACGGTGAATGGGCGACGGTGAATCGGCGACGGCGAATTGGCGACGGCGAATTGTCCCATTCCCCTTTAACTTAGCTCTGGAGCACATAATCAGAAGTGCAAGAATCGAAAAACCGAATACAGTATTTCATCGAGAAGGACCAAACCTACTACTGGCATTTGCAGACGATATAGATCTAATAGGAAACACGCGATTAAGGATGAAGGAGACTTTCGTAAGGTTTGAGAAGGAAGCAGAGAAGATAGGGCTCCAAATCAACGAAAACAAGACGAAATATATGTATATGAGCCGCAATAACCAAAGCAGAGACAGAATCGGTCAGAACATTACCATCGATGACTTTAACTTTGAGCGCGTTAGAGAATTCAAGTATCTTGGAACAACAATAACTGAAGACAATAACGGATCACAAGAAATAAACAACAGGATTCAGGCCGGCAACAGATGTATTTTTGCCCTCCAAAACCTTATAAAATCAAAACAACTAACACGACGTACGAAGATAAAGGTCTATAAAACAATCGTACGACCCGTTGTGATGTATGGAAGCGAAACGTGGACGATAACAAAGGCAAATGAAGAGAGACTACGTGTTTGGGAAAGAAAAATCCTAAGGAAGATCTTTGGTCCGGTGCTTGATGAAGTATCAGGACAATATAGGATAAGAACTAATAAAGAGCTTGAAGAACTTTACCCAGACGCCAACATAATAAAAGAAATAAAGTCCAGAAGACTCCAATGGGCAGGACACCTCAGAAGACATTCTGATGAACGAACAGTAAGACTGGTGTGGGAGGAAGTCCCAACTGGAAGGAGACCACGCGGACGCCCTCGTCTCCGGTGGCGAGATAATATAGCAGGAGACCTAAGCACTATGGGCGTGGAGAATTGGATGGAGGTTGCTCAAGACAGAAAAC